GCACAGCCCCAGCCGTGGGTGCTGGGCCAGGGCCAGGGGGAGCAGCTCGTGCCATTTCCCTTGGGAAACCAGCGACCGTTTCGGTGGGTGATTGAGCCAAACGCTGCGCTTGGGCCAGAGTCTTGCTGAGCAAGGCTCCTCTCTCTCCTTCTGCCCCCCTTCCAGCCCATGCTGCGGGACTACCAGAACGGGGATGGCTTTGGCTACATCTTGTCCTTCCGCAAGAAGGGCACGGAGGGCTGGCTGGCAGCGCGGGTGCCCCGCGCCGAGTCGCTGCACTACGTCTACCACAACGAGAGCATTGGGCCCTACACCCCCTTCGAGGTGAAGATCAGAGCTTACAACAGGAAAGGAGAGGGACCCGAGAGCCTGACTGCCATCGTGTACTCTGCAGAGGAAGGTAGAGGAGGGCTGTGGTGACCCTGAATTCACCCTGCTTTGTCCAACCGACCAATGTGTCCTCAACCGCCTCCCTGCAGAGCTGTGTCTGTCTGGGAGCTCAATGACAGGACAGGTTTCCTTGACTGAAAGAACAGCTGACAGTGATTTCAGAGTAACATTGATCTTCTACTTCAAATACCCAGAGAGATGTTTCCCTAAGCCCAGCCATGACCCTACACCAGAGCTTCAGAGCAGACCCAGATCCTCCCTTCTTGTCCTGCTAAGTCCCCAGATCCCTTCCCCTTGCTTTGCCCCGTGCACACAGCACCAGCTGACTGGCTGCAGGAGAGCCCTTCATTTCAGCAGGGTGCCCATGCTGCCCAGAGCATGGAAAACCATTTGATTCCCTTTTGTTGTCTTTTTCAGAACCCAAAGTGGCTCCTTTCAGAGTCCTGGCCAAGGCTGTTCTGTCCTCAGAAATGGATGTGTCCTGGGAGCCTGTTGAGCAGGGAGACATGACTGGAGTGCTTTTGGGGTATGAGGTACGAGCCTGCAATGGGAATGAGAGACACTGAGATTGGAAAGCCCAGCAAGGAAAACTCCCCCAGGCTAAGTGAGGTGAAAGGAAACAGCATTTGGTTTCCAAAGATGGAGGTTAATTAACAGAGAGCTCTGATAGGGCCAACACTACTGCTCTCAAGAGAACACCACTGCTCACGGGACAGATTAGAGAGAAGGAAACACCCTTATTTTTCTGCTTGCCTTTCCACATAGGCTGTAACCTTGTTCCTGGGCACACACTGAGCAAAATGCACAGAAACTACTACCCAAGGGTCTCCAGTGCTGGCTGTGGATGCACTGTCTGGTATTTGCCTCTACCTTTACTAAACCCATCATACCCTTTCCTATTCAGATCCGGTACTGGAAGGATGGTGACAAAGAGGAGGCAGCTGACAGGGTGAGGACAGCAGGGCTGGTCACATCAGCTCATGTCACAGGCCTCAACCCCAACACGAAGTACCACGTGTCAGTCAGGGCTTATAACCGGGCTGGGACTGGCCCCCCCAGCCACTCCACCAACATCACGACAACGAAGCCACGTGAGTGAGCCCTGACCCCCCCACACTTTGCACCCTGCATCCCCAGGGACCAGCTGACCAATGAACTTTTTTATCTTGGTGCTCTAACACCATTTTTAGCAGTCCCTAAAGCAGTGCCCTGAATTGCCTCAGATCAGTCTTGTGGTCTGTGCGTTGCTGATCTGAGGTCTGTGCTCAGAGACCTTCCCTTCAAACCAACCACAGTGGAGCCACCAGCCCCATCAGCTTGTCACAGAGTCTCAGGAGATGGTTGTGACCAGCACAACCTTCTCATCAGCCCCTGATTTACTGCATCTCTGTCTTGTTTTGTATCTCTCAGCACCAAAGAGGCCACCTGGCAACATCTCCTGGACCTTTTCGGGGTCCACAGTCAGCATCAAGTGGGACCCAGTGGTGGCAAAGGCAGATGAGTCTGCAGTGACAGGGTACAAGGTATGGGCAGCACGTAGCTGGCCTCTCTTATAACTGACCCAAACCAAACCAGAGTGAACCTAAACTCGACCTTGCCTCTTCCAACAGATGCTGTACAGGCAGGATTCCCACTCTGCTCCCACACTCTACCTGGCCAGCAAGAGCCGAATCGACATCCCCATCCCTGAAGACTTCACTCATGCCTTGGTACAGATCAGGGTGACAGGCCCTGGGGGGGATGGGGTCCCAGCAGAGGTTCACATCCTCCGAAACAGTGGTAGGTCCCTGCCTCTGCCTGCATGGCTGCTCCTCTACAGGTGTTCCACAGAGCTCTGCAAAAGGAGCTCAGAGGGAGGAGGTTATTTGCAGGGCTATCTGCCTGTCCTTTGTTACCACTGTTCTTTGATAAGTAAAGGACTTAGCCAGGCCTCCTCCCCTCCCAGCCAGCCCTTCCCCAGATCTGAGCAACGTTTCAGCCTGCTCTGTACCCAGCTTCATGGCATTTGCAGCTTGAGGCCTCACACAAGCCTGACCTGCATTCACTAAGAGTGAAATCCTGGAGCCCCAACACCAACTCCAGCAAGTTCCGTTGATTCAGGGTCTAAGTGGCCTGGGCCCACCTCTAAAGTCTTGCTTCAAATCCTGGGAGGCTCATCAGAGAAAAAAAGCAATTAGAGCACACAGAGCCCCACAGTTAACACCTCCCCAGCCCTCCCGACTCCTTCCACAAGACGTCAGGCTGGGGCTGTGCCACAAACTCCTCACTTCTGCCCTGTTCCCTTTCTTTCAGGGACCAGTATGATGGTGGAAGACTCTGTGACGAGGCCAGTGCCACATGCTGTCATCATCACAACTAACTCTCTGGTCATGGTAGCCCTGATCAGCTACCTGGAGCTCTGACAACAGCCAGCACAGCAGAGGACTCCTGGACATGCTTCCTCCCACGCCAGTGAGGAACTTGGCTGCTGCAACTTCAAGTTTGCTCCACAGCAGCCCTACAGAGAAAGGATTTGACAACATTGTTTTAAGGGAGGAAGAAACAGCTTTTCTTTTCTGTTTGTTTGTTTGGGAAGAATTCAAGCTTTCATACAAGACATGGGTCTTTAACCAATTACAAGTTTTTTAAAAGAAACAAGTAAAACAAAGAAGAATTCCACGTGAATTCTGACACCCAACTGCCCCCACACTGTATCCTGTAGGTTTTCTGCCTTACAAAGCCATGTACTAAAATAACCAGACTGCTAAACTTGACTCTTTTTTTTTTTTTTAATATGTACAGTGAATTTTTGGGGTGTAAGGAGAGGGATGGGGACTGAGGATTTCACAGTGAGCAGCACGTTCCCTGCCAATCCCAGTCACAGCCACATCCAGCCAATGATGGGACAGGACTGGGGGGTTTTGCCCCCCTAATATGAGCCAAATTCTGCAGCAACCAGCCCAAGGAGATAAAGCCAGAAGAGAGATTGATCTCTGCCCCATCCTGAAGACAAGTGAACACAAGAGTTTAGATTGTGAGAAGCTTTTTTATGACCCTGGTGTTAACTTGCAACCCCAGCCTATTGTTTGTACCAACTGTGAGGTGCAATGTTCAATGTTACCCATATCCCACCTGGTTTGGGGTGTTTTTGTTATAACTTTTGCTTCTTTCCTTTGTGCTTGGGGAGGAGAAGGGGTAAGCAAACAGGTGATACTTTTCCAGCATCCACTAATTTGGAGAGGCAGTTCTGCCCAATAACAGAGATGTCAACATACCCAGTTTCAACAGAGAGGGGGTCTTACAGGAGGAAGAAAAAGGAGTAGTTCATCATTTAACCAAGAACTGGAGACCCACAGAAGCCACCACTGGGGCAACAAGGAAAATCTGGACTCACTCAGATCCATCACCCTACACAAACAGTTCTGTCCAGCCAGAATACCAGTCCCAGCTTGGCACTGCAAGGCTGAGACCCAACCAGTAAGTCAGTCTGGTGTTCAGGTCTAAGGATCATCCAGCTGATGCCCATGGGAGGGCTGATACCCCCAAGAAGTCCAGGGATGTTGAGGTGCACCATGAAAAAATGGTTGAGAACAGCCACTGCAAATTCCAGCCTCTCTGTCTCCCAGTAAAGCAATTACCCAAGTTAAGGAGAAGCTGGTTTATGTTCCTTGCTGGTTAAATCCCAAGCTTTTAGGAACCTTTACCTGCCTGTACCTTCCTCCACCCCAGTGGACAATCCTGGTGGTCTGAGCAGCCTCAGCTCCTCCACTGCCTGCCAAGGGGCTGCACTTGCAGGACTGGACAACAGGCACTGATGTGCAGCTTCTGCACTAGATGCCAATTCCTTGCTTTTGCTCATCAGTTCAAAACTGCCACATCCAAGGCCTTAGTGAGCACTGGAGAGACTGCAAGCACCAATCCCTGCCCTCCTGCACTTATACCTGTTGTATATATCCAGAATATCCCATCACAATTTGATCAGCATCTGGCCTGCCCTGGAAGCAAGAAGGTAAATGCAGCAGGAGGTTCACACCCTGGGATGCAAACAGCAAGACTGGGGGCTCAGGAAGAAGGGCTCCTGTGTGTTCAGCAAACAAGAGAAATGTTTTAAGAAACAGGCAAAGAAAAAGAAACTTATTGAAAGAGTCAAAATATTTAGAGCACAGCTGCAGCCAAAAGAAGGGGTACCTCACTGTTCCCTTTCTAATGCCTGGGATAAAGTGGGACAAGGAAGCCAAGAGCTCCCACTGCCCCTGGCAGCAAAAGCAGGAACCATCATCCCTGGAGCCCATCCTGAGCCTCTTCCCTGTCCCTCTGCAGCTCCCCATGGATTATCCCTTCAGTCCCACCAGCAAGTTGAAACATTTCCTTCAGGGCAATGGCTAAATGCAAATTATATTTTTGTATTATTTATGTTCTTGAAGATTTTAAGATATTTTTATTGCTGTTTGGAAGCTTTGTTTTGTTATGTTATTCATTCAGTATTTTTGTTATCACCTCTGTCTTGTTGGGCCTTCAACCTTCCTCCCACCAAAGATGGGATGAAAGGGAAGTTAGGAATTCAGTGTTAGCTCAAAAGCAAACTAATTAGGGCTTGGGCACCAGTTACCTGATTGATAGACAGGACTGGAGGTGGCCAAAAGGACAATATTTAGGAGGCATAACATAACTGGACCTGTGGAGCTTCAGAGCACTGTGGGTGATGCCCACTGCAGCCCTGCAGGAGGATCAGCCTGGATCAGGAGACCAAACAGAAGCTGCAAGGTCAGACACTGTGCTTAGAGCCTTCACTGAGCAGAGATGCAGATGCTGGAGGCAGCCCAGGTGATTCCCAGCCAGAGGTGCACACCAGACACCCCTGGGGCAGAGAATGTGCTTTGATGGACCCCACGTTGGGTGAACTCTGAGAAGAGAGCAAAGTGAAGTGAGGAACTGCTGTGAAACCCCAGGGCTGAGGGGCAGCACCAGCCTAGGTCTGACCACACAGGAGATGCAACATCTGGCAGCAACTTGATCTCAACAGAAGCTTCCAAACGTGTCTGGCAACCTGTGGCTCTCTGGTGTAGCAGCTTCACAGGGTTGGAAAGGAAGACTCTCCACTGCTTGGTTAAACAGCATCTAAATGCTGCAGGGACACTGGGTTTCAAACAGGCACCTGCAATGTTGCCCCAGAAGGGTTAATACATTTTCCATACATTTCTCTCTTAAACTAGATCATGGGCACATTTCATATAAGATAAAATGACACGAGTTGGATTTCAAGTGGGCTGAATATTCTCTGGTTTGCAAAACTGATGGGACAGTATTTTCTAATGCCTTCAGGTGACAAGTAGATCCCCTCCCAAGTCAAATATCTTCAGTCTGAAACCAAGCTACACCTCTTTTTTGAAAATGTAAATCATGGCTGCACAGAGTTTCATCAGTCTGCATTTTAAATCAAAACACTGCTGAGCTTTTGCAGTGTTTTAAGGATTAAACAAAGAAGTCAAGAGGTGTGACCTGGTGACAACCACAACAACCTTACAACCATTTGTTCTAATCCCAGCTCTGACACTGACCCCATCTATGGCTCCAAGCATTTATTTCACCACTCACTGCCTCAGTTTCCCTTCCTGAACAGTGAAGCACTAGCAGGTCACTGGGTATATTTGCAAGTTCTTTGCAGTTTGGAAGTACCCGTGGTTGCCCACTGGAGTCACAGGTGGGAGTGCAGCCCCTGCAGGGAACCAGGGTGGGCTCAAACACCCAGCTGGGCACCAAGAACCCTGTATTATTATATGCAGCCAAGCCAGAGCCACCAACGGGAGAAAAAGATGTGGAAGAAACCTTCTGCAAAGCCAGTTAGAGCTTCCGAAACTACAACACAGGGGTTAAAAGGTGTTCAGAGCTGGGAGAGGAAACTTAGAATCACAGAATCATAGAACAGTGAAGGTTGGAAGGGACCTTAAAGATCACCAGGTTCCAACTCCCTGCTGTGAGCAGGGACACCTCCCACTAGACCGGGTTGACTTGGATTTCAACATCTTAACAGAGCTGACTGGCTTTCCAGGACTGCATTAAGTTGCAAATCAATTTCTTGTCTCATTAAGACTCCCCTGCGTTTCACTGCTCTGAGCATTTGCTTTAGAGATTAACTCCCAGGGATGAGCTAAGTGCCCTGGGTTTTGTTCTCAGCACTGTAATGGCTCAACAAGGAAAGTAATCTAATTTCACAGGGTCCACCTTGTCAGCAGTAAAACCAGCCTGACACGGGTGCTGTGAGGAGTGCACAGCCAGGGTGGAATGTTTTGAGCCTCCCAAATGAGAGGAGCTTTACAGAGCTGATTTCTCCACATTTCACTGAAAACGATCCTCCTGGTACGACTGAACCTGCAGACTGAGGATTGTGCTTCTGGTTTTATGCTGCTGGGCTACATCCAGCCCTCAGCTCTGTGGGTTCGAATCAGACCTCATGGGTTTGAATCAGATCTATGAGCTGCTCACATTCGCAGCAGGGAAGATGAGAGGTTGTGCCCTGAATGGGAGACACTTGCATCTTTGCCCAAGGCATCAGCTGGATAACACAGGCATCCCATTCAGCTACTGCCTGGGGGTGTCTAAATCCCATCTGCTCTAACCCTGCAAAGATCAGCCCTCCACAGAAGCCCTCTGCTGTGTTTCAGTCCAGCTTCACTCACCCCAACAGGGCAGTTTTCTTCTCAGTCACTTTGTTCTACGTTATTTTTATGTAAGAAAACCAAATGGGAAACATTGTAAGCAAACCCTGCTCACTGCCACGGTGGTTATTGATTGGCTACAGTAGCACACAGCTCATAAATAAAGATCTTCAGAGACTTTAGACAATTCCTGGAGTCCAGGGTACTTCTGTCCACCTTTACATGCAATTAATACCTTGTTTGCTTAGGAGTCCCCCAGGCTCAGGGCTGTATTTTCCTGACTCCCAGTTGCATTCACCAACACAAACAAGGAGCCCAGGGAGATCCCATCCACGTAGAGCTGGATCCCCCTTAGCAAAAGTTAATTAAGACACAGTAAATTCTGGGAAACCTCTGGCTGGTTTTCCAATGGTTAGGAAGTGATGCTAGAAAGCTCCAAGTCAAAAATTCTATCCACCTTATTAGCAGAAAGGGTAACTGACTGTTGGAACAGCTTGCCAAAAAGCTTCATCATCAATCACAGCCTTTAAACCAAGGCTGGAAGTCTGCCAGGAAAGATACCCACCAGCTCAGCCACAAAGCCAGCAGCCTTGCAAGGTTGACTTACATTATAAAAAATCATTTCCTTCATTGCAGGAAGCTCTGCATGAAATCACCTCATCCATGTTATGGCAGATTAATTCATCACAGTCACTCCTTCTGGCCTTAAAAAAAATACATATATCTACTGCCTTCCTTCCACCTTTGGGAAGGATGTAAAGAGACCAGCAACTGTGTGTAGAACAGGCCTGGGGGTCTGGATGTCAAGATGAAGGCAGATACAGTCATGCTGGAGGGATGGATGGAGGGAAGGGCAGAGGGATGAACTGCTCTGGGCAGATCAGGAAGCCAGCCTGCACCATAGCCAGACACTGAGGAGCTCCTTCCCTTCCCAGCAGCTACAGGTTGAGGGGATCAGGGTATTTGGGTGCCTTCTAACCCTGCCCAGCTCCTGGTCTCCAGATGCCAACCACAAAGGGCCCCAAGAGGCTGGGCTCAGCTGTGCTCAGCCCCCGGGCAGGCTCCTGCCTCTCTGCCCCATGCTCTGCAGAGCTGCAGGGGAGGCCACTCATCAGAAGGGCCCTAATTAGCTCAGGGATTTATGCTGCAACGGGGCTTTGTAAAGGTGAGGGCAGCATCATTAGAGACAGCAGCAGGGAGCAGCCAAGACTGAGATGAATCCCTCCCCAGTCCATTCCCCACAAGGGCACTTCTGTTTTCTCAAGAGCCATCATTAAAGGCTGCAGATGATACAACTCAAGGAGACAAATGTCTGGTCAGTGACAAACAGGAGGGTCCTATGGGAAAGGCACTGACAGCCCTGTGGGGAGAGCAACCAGGAAGGGCTGGGGCAGCTCCCATGCCCAGCAGCCCCAGAACAACCCAGCACCAGAACCCCAGCAGAGCTAACCTCTTCATCCCTGGAAACTGCTGCAGGAAACTCCAAGCAAGAGGAACCCCTTGAAAATGATGGTCCTTCTCTCCTTTTGGGACCAAATCAAGGTAAACATATATTACCTGGGAGTAAATCTTTAAAGACAAGGTCTCTAAGAGATGGTTCTTCACACTCTGAAGATGCTTCATACACAGCATTTTCATAAGATTCCTACTCAAAAAAATAAGGTGTTGATTTCTCTACCTCTGTGGACAGCAGGGTGCAAAAACAAACCAACACTTCCATTGCCAGGGGCACGGGGGGAACAGCATCTTAAGAGCTTTGTGCAAATCTTTGCTAGTTGGTTTTGTTTCATAATATCCTCTATTATTTGCTTCTGTCTTATGATTTTGGGCTTTTACTACCTCCCACGACAGCCAGATTTTCCAAAGAACTCAGCAAGTAATGCCTGAAAAGACCTAAAACTTTATTTTACTGCCTAAAAAGAATTTGTCTCTTTTTGGGCACGCAGTAGATGTTCAGTAGTATTGATTTATTGGCCTGCACCAAAGCCAAAGAAGAAGAAGAAACCTCAAACCAGTCAAAACAACGAGTATTTTATATGCTGCTAAATCATTTTGGTCTAAAAGTTCTGATTAAATTAAATCATGGTGTTGTCATTTATTCTTTCAGGACAACAACAGCAACAAATTAATTATCATCAAAACTAAATAGCAAAAGAAACCCTGATTCTGGTCTATATCTGACTCAGCATAGACTAATTTAGAGTTCACTACAACACTCCTGGATCAGGATTAGTGCTACAAAAGTGAATTTGCTCTTCTATGCTCAGCCTGAGATGATGCATGAACTAAACCCCCAGTGCTCAGAGGGCTTGGGCAGAATCTGTGGCTTTGTACACCAGTTCCACAAGCCCCAGGCAGCACCACCAGAGACAGGCAACAAGGACACATGTTCAGGGAGTGTTCTGTGGGAGAAGAAGCTGCAGTTTCCTAGAGAAAATGTGTGAGAACCACAGTGCTCTTTTGGAAAATGCTCTGAAATATGAGCCAAGAGAGAGGTTTTACAAAACCAAAGGTCATTACAGAAAATCCCTGCGTCTCTAGTTATTTCCTTTACCCTGTGTGAGGTTCAGGGAATGCCTGGAGTAAATGAGATACTGAATAAATGGCCCAAAGGGGGAGGAAAAGCAGTAAGGTGAGAGGTAGCAGTGAGTGGGAAAGGAGGGAACAGGAAGGCAACAGCCCCTGATGCAGCTCGATACAACCCGGCAGAGCCTGGAGCTGCTGCAGGGACAAGTGAAAGAATTAACAGATCAACGTGCAGAGGATGGAAGAGCCCAACAGCCCCATCTCCAAAAGCAGCATATGGGGTTTGTTTTCCTCTTTGCTGCCATTCAAGTTCCAGCAGTTCAGGCAATCTAGTTATTCAATTTAGATAAGCTTCAGCAGCTAACAGCAATTTCAACAGCTGCCTGTGCCTCACCATTCTGTTATTCCCTCCTTCTTTCCAAGTGCTAATGCCATTAGCAAATTGACTTCCTCCCTCACACAATCTGTCTGGCTTTAGTGTGTACAATACTAATTGCTTCCTAATGCTCAGAACCATCAGCAGGCAGCAGAAGTTTGTACCACAAAAAAAACCCCTCCAGCTGGAAACTGGCAGCAGGCAGGGTTTGTGTGTAGTCCCTGCCATCCTCTCCTCCAGGTGAGGCAGACAAAATGGCCAAGGGTGGGGAAAAGAAGCTTAGGAACCATATTACCAACTTGGAGCAGAAAGAGACACCTTTTTGCTACAGTTATGTTGGGAAGAACAGGGACAGATGTGCAGGGAAGAACAGGGAAGACATGCAGATCACAGGAAAAGACAGGAAGAAATGCAGGGGTGGGGAGGGTTTGCTGTTTTGAAGGGTTCTTTCTTCATCTGCTTTCTCTGACCTCTTTGTACCTCCAACCTTCCCCATTCCCTCTCTGGGACCTTTCTTTCCCCCAGCTCAGGCTGCTCTCCCTTCCTTCCCCTCCACCCCCAGCAGATCTGCTATTATAAACATCACCCAACACACAGATTGCTTTTAAACTCAAAAAACATACAAGGAAAAGTGCCATTTCAAACAGCAGCTCTGCCAATAACGGGCCCAAGTCCCACCCTTTCTGACAGCTGGAGCCCCCCAGTCCATCACAGCTCTCCATCTCCAAATAAGCATTTAAGAAATATATTAATCTTTCCTGCTCCAGGCATCTGGCTCCCCTCTGAAAAAAAGAGAGCACACAATAAAAAGATGAAGGACCATTCTGGCCCCCACCCTGACCTCCCCAGCTAAGCAGTGAGAAAAAAGATTGTCCTGGACCTTTCATGTAATCTTCCTGCATTTCTAAACCGCAGTTGCCCGGCGGGATGGAAGCTCCTGCATTTACATTACAAAGTGTAAAGAGGCTCTTCCAGAAGGGCCAGCTCCTCTTTGTTGATTTTAACCATTAGCTCCCAAACCAGAGGGACCAGCCCAGCAAGGACACAGCCAGCACTGGGCACAGAGGAAACTGCAGTATTGTGGAGCTGAGTCAGAGGAAACTGATGAAGAACAGAAGCAAGAAAATCTTGGACAACTGGATCACCATCCAGGAGCTTCTGACCCACAGGACCAGATCACAAGATGAAGGACATACAGCCCCTTGCTGCCTGTCACAGCTGTGTAGCAACCTGACCCTTCCAACACTGGGAAGGGACACTGCATCTTCCCAAAGGCACTGCTGTCACTGCTGAATGGTTCCTCTCACCATTCCCAAACTTCTGCTGGTTACTGTGCTCATTCAAGTCTCCCAGCAGAAAGAGGGAACTCAGTAAAACTACAAACTGGGGATTCAAGCCTGATGACAGACTTGTTTCTCCACTCACACACAGCCTGACAATCCCAGGGTCCACAGATCATTGTCCTGTTACACTTATTACCAACTTCCCTGTCCATGAACATCTGGCTCCAGTGCATTTCATGTCTGATTATTATACTTTTTTTAATATAGGATTCCCTGCAAATAAAGTATTTACTTCTATATCCATCTCTTTCTATATTGAAGCTTCTTTGTTGTTGTTCTGGTAAAAAGAAGAAATAATAGTAAGCTTCAATCTTTAATAGGAGAGTTGGATCATTATCTTCCCCAGAATAGGGTGTGCTATGCATTCCTGTACATCAGTTCACAGGGAAAAAAAAAGGGGGGGGGGGGGGGGAAATAGATTTAGTAAATATAGTTGTTTACTGTAAAATAATAGACAAAAAAGTAGAAAGAAGATACACTTAATAGGTCCCTCTGTGGATTCTGCTGCCAACAGGGACATGATACTCCCTGCTGAGTTGCTTCATGTTTTATAGTTATTAATCATCAGGAAAAATATGAGATCCACAAGCGCACTGAACTCTTCCCTTCCTCCCCCTTTAAAGATGTTTAGGAGTGAGCTCAGCTCTGAGTCATGATTAAAATCACTCAGTTATGTTCCCCAGCAGCAGTGCTCCAACTGAAGGTTTGAATGTGCTGTTCTACACTACAAAGGAAGCTGGACAAGCTCCAAACTATCACTTAACGATACTTCACAGTTTTCTGGGCTCTAGCAGAGAGAGATAAATTTCCCTAGAAGAAGGCAGTGGATGTTCCACCCCTCATCCCCACACTGCCCCACACAGTGGCAGCTCCTGAGACTGGACCACTTGGATCTGATGGAAAGGACACCAGGTAGCCAGGAAATCTGGTTTCTAAGCCCACCTCAAAAGCATCCTCAGTTCTTTCCACCTCTTGCTGCAGAAACACCATCTACCAAACAGCAGGTAGCTCACATCACCACAGAGTTCTGGGCCAAGCAGAAGAAATGGGAGGAAATAAGACAGGAATCAGGATCACAAGTTATTAACTAAATTTTAAAAATCCAAACACTTTGAGTTAAAATAAAGGCCAGCTAGAGGAGCACAAGTAGGTAGTTAGCAGCAAGCAGTGGGCAGCTTCTGTAACTCAGTGTCCTCTAGCTCCTGTCTGGACCATTCCAGACCATCCTTTTACAGAAGGTGGAACCAAAGCCTTGCTCCATCTGGAGCTACTGTCTCAAGCTCTGGTGCTACAGCCCTATACTAACATATCAGCCTCCAAAGAAAATATTTGGCAGCAAACTGTGTCAGTGGGAAAAACTGAAATACTGCATCAGTGCTGACAGAGAGACAAGAAATGGTACTAAATCTTAGCTGGTTTATTTGCAGCTCTCCTCAAAAACCTCTGCACACAGCAGAGAACCATGCCCACTAGGGTACCCCCTATCACTCCACTTCCAATTCCTACCAGGTAGTCATAAAACACCCTTCCTTGCCAGCACTGCTGCTGTTCCTGCCCTTCTTCCTGGGCCTTGTTTTCTGTGTTTCCTCCCTCCTTGTCCGCTGTCAACTTCTGTTCCCAAGTCAAGGATTTTTGGAAGTTCAGATTCACTAATTCATTCTGGATGACTCTGACCCCAAAGTAGATCCTCTTGATGACTCTGAACGTCTTCACCAGCTGCATGTCACACCGGTAGGTCCCTGCATCAGACTCCCTGGCAGGGGAAAGCCTGACGAGAGACTCGGTGTTTTTTAAAGGTTTGAACATCATGTCGTTCATGGTGATGAGGCTCTGGGCAAACCTCCAGGTATAGAAATAGGCTTCCCTCTCAAAGCCCACCTCATCCGGGCTCAGGCAGTTGAACTGGAAGGGTTTGCCCACCGGGATGGTGAAGTGCACCATGCCACAAGCCCAGGTGGTCAGGCAGCCCGAGCGGCGGATGGTGCAGTTCCTCCTCTCTCCAGTGGCAGTGACCGAGCACAGCCTCTCCAGCTTGTAGCCTGGGCCACAGGTGACACTGCAGGACGTGGTATTGACAGCAATTTCTGCCATGGCTGTCCTCAGCTCTGCTGGGATGGTAACTTTTTCCATGGAAGCTACCAAAGGCAAATAGAAAGCACAGCAGAACGCCCCAAGGACGGGGTGGTTCCCCGAGGTCTTCATGTCAGACGTGCCTCCTCCCAAAGCCACACAAACTCATTCTTTGCACATCTTCAAACTAGACATCTCTGAAATCCCACGAGCACCATCTTCAACACCTAATCCATCCATTAGGAAAACTCCTCCAAAACAGGCTTGAAGGACAACACTGCTCAAAAAGATGCAACACATTACGGGTCAGAATGTGACTCTGAAATCCAGTTCTTGTAAGAGGGCAATTTAAAAAAGATGAAGCCCTCCCTTCCCAGTAAGATTTTACACACCACTTGAGATTAATTTCCACTGTAAAGTAGTTCCAGTTTAGCTTTCCAGCCAAACTATAAAACAATAAAAGTAATCACTACTGGAACTTTTAAAATGGTGTTGTTGAGCACAAGGACACCCCAGTTCCTTGTGCAGCACCCACACACTTGTCTGACACTTGCACAACCCCAGATCTGAAGTTCTCCACTAACTTCCAAGGTCAGAAAAACAACATTTCAAACTCTGTATCTGATGGCACTGATGTCAAAGGCAACCTGAGCAGTGTTTTACCACTGAGATTACCCATCAACACCCAGCAGGGCTCAGTGAAGCTACTCACATCTCCATCAGCCCAGGGATGTCCTGATGTCACAGGTCAGAACATTGCCTGGGTCAGAACATTCCAAGGGAGAACAGAGAACTCCCCTGAAGACAAAGTGAGATGAGGACTCAGCACAACTGCATCATGTTAGGCTCTGGACAGCCACGCTCAGACTGGAAAGGGACCTCACAGGATCCCACAAAGGAGCCACCAGCCTAAGCCCCCCTGCTCAGCCTCCCATCCAGCCACTGGCTCCAGAGAGACCCAAGTCCAAAATTCCATGTTCACCTGATGGATCTGGCAAAACAGACACCACTCATGTGCTGCCACTGCAGCAGACTGGGGGAGGACACTCCAGTGTGATTCACTCAGTCTGTAAGCATCCCAAAAGAATAATGCACTGCTAAAAAAAGTTCTTAATGGAAAAAACTGGTTTTGATGGAATAACTGACTTGTGGTCAAGTCAGTTCCAGTTCAATGTCTCCTCACCAGCAACTGAGTTAGGGAGTGGAGAAAGGACTTGAGCCGCCACATTCCTTAACAGCTCTGTGAAATAATTAGTTCTCTTCCTAACACTCCTTAATCTATTAAAAAGGAAGACTTGTGAAGATCTAGTCTCTGTTTTCCACATGCAGTTGCCCTGGAGGTGCCCTCCACACCCAGCACTGGGAGGCTGTGCTGGGGGGACAGGGCTTTTACCAGACCACAGATTCACTCCTCTCTCTTGAAAAGAGACCACAAATCAAATGCCACACTAAAAAAAACAACCAACCAAACACCACCAGCTGTGGTGAAGACACAACATTTGTGTTTGCAGTCAGATTCCTAAACATTGTCACAACATAAACCATCACCACTGTATGGAAAAGCCAAGAGTTACCCACGGACTTTAGGAAATAAAACATACATCTTTATTTACAAACACAGAAACTAACAGCACTGCAGTGCACTACCACCCAGCCAGTCTCTGACAAATATTGTACAAACCTACAGATACCAACAAAAATAAAGAGATGGGAGAAAATAAACCAGGGACATATACACTGTACAGAGAAGTTTTAACAGAAAGGAAGGCTGGAGCCTGTGGCAAATCATCTGCTTTCAAGCAACCCAGAGAACCTTTGCCTGCACAGGTCTGGAAGCTCATGGGCTCAGGCACATCATCTAGGGGGGGATTGGAAAGATGCAAGTCACTCTCCAAGCTGAAAGAACAAAGAAAACTGATGTTGTACATGGGGGAATGGATTTCATTAGGAGAAGCAGACCACTGAACCAGAGCCTGAAATGAAAACAATTCCAAAAAACCCCTTCTGATTTAAAATAGCTCCTCTCTTCCTAGGCTCGTATCTCAACCACTTCTAACTGCAAATTAACAAATATCTTTGTGATTCCTCTTCTTGGTTGTCAGTGTCTGCAGGATACTTTGAGAATTTAAATACATAGTGATAATCCCCATCATTACATCTTAGGAAAAACTCAAAGGAATTGCAGGGGAATTATAAAAATCTACCAAACAAGGGGCACTGGGAATGAAAACTTTATTTTAACAGACAGTTGGCCTAGTACAGAGAGGTGCCAGGCTGCAGACACTGGTAGAGAAAGTGTCTCTTCCCATTCTCACATGGATAATCTTACAAAATAAAGGTTAAAAGCCTGGCTGCCCATGAGCTGTCAGCATTCACCTCTCCTACCCAGGAGTGGGGGGAAAAAAAACCTTGAAAAACTACAATTTCAATGTGGAGAAATATTGGTTCTGTTTTTCCCTCTAACTTCCAGCACCCACCAGCTGAGGAGGAAGCCAATTGTTTCTGGTAGGGCACCACACAGGAAAGCAGCAGAATAAAAGCACTTGCAAGAACAGAAAGAAACTGCCAACACAGCTTTTCATACCACGGGCTAGATGAAAGCATATAAACTGAGAGTTTTATCTAAAGCTACTTCCACTTGTCCCTTTCCCCAGAAGCAGTCATCCTTCATGTCTAAAATATTCACAAGATGAAGATTCATTCTTTGCAGACTTCAGAGGGTGTCTTGATTCTTCACATGAGATCTCTATCCACCTGAGAGGAACTGAAACCTGGCACAGCAGCAGCACTTCACTGAGCATGGCAGCACGGCAGATGTGACACTGAGCTCCCAGAGAGGCTGCCAAGGCAGTGCAGCTGGCACAGAGGGACTTACAAATCACCACAAGCAAAATTAACAGCAAAGAAAGGGAGGTCTGCAGGATACACAGTCATATGGCATCAGGAATAAAAATACACACTTTGGGTAGACTTCAATCCAGGGAAAAAAAATATAATATATATTTAAAAGACAGTGGCTGATAAGCTCTGGAGTGGCTGACTGTTGGGTACCAGCTCACTTTAGACCAGGTCCATACACCCACACAAGGGCAGTCCAGTGGGTCTCTCTGCAAACTGCACAACCTGAGAGTCAGCATCCCAGACTGCTCACTGGAGAGGCAGCTCAGGAGGAACAGGGGCTGATTCCTCTTCCACGTTCACCTCTTACAAAAGTCACTCCCTGAATCCATGAACAATCAGTCTGCTGTGTTAGTCAGTCCACTCTGACTGAGCATTTCATCCATTTTCCACATGATGGTGCCAGTACAGGAAAGATAAAGGAAGATAAAGAGTGTCTTCATAACAATTCTGAGATTGCACCACCTGCTAAAGAGATCAAAGACAAGAGAAATATAAGTAACCAGACTCAAACAGATGTCACCAAAAACCAGAGACAACCAAACACAGGAACTTTTCCAGAAAAAAAATATGATAGAGAACCAGATTTTTCTGGATGAACACATTTTTTCCAGAATGAGATATAATCAAGATGCTGTCTTTGACAAAGATCTCCAGTATTTCTGCACTTGTATTTGAGATCACATTTATTTTATAGCAAGTCAGACCATATTGGCACAGCTGCATGGGAGCAGTACAAGGAAAACCTCACAAAAATCCTTCCAAGTAGGGCTTGGCAAGGATGTCAAAAAAAACAAATGATGACTGGAACTCGTTTTGGAAGCCACAATGAGCTTCCAGTGCACCATCCTTTCTCATTTATATCCTTTTGTATTTGGTCATGTTAATTAACAGCAAGAAAGAAAGCAATGGACACGCCTGCTGAATCAAGTAACAGTGACACTCCTGGTCCATCCAGCACAGCACAACAGAGCAGTCAGGTTGTGGAACAGATGCCAGCAAAGACACCTGAGGATCCACACAACCCAGACAATTCCTTACTCTCATCCTTTACAACATACTGGATGCCCCCTAATGACTTAGGAAGTCAAAAGAGAATCACCCTGCCTGGTAAATCTCACACTAGAAGTTTGTCAGTACCTCTCAGGCTACAAACAAGGGCTTAGGATGTTGTTGGCTGTTTAATGGCTGGATTTTACAAAGTGAAGTGTGAAAGGACTAAATGGCAGCCCAGAAAACATCCACCACGTTTTTCCATGTATGGACTAAGTTTCTTTTATCCCACTCCCTTTTTCTGGCAATAGCAATTATCAGTACTGGTACAAGCAGCATAACAGGAGCTGAGCAGGAAGGACAATGAGCAAGGTGGGCAGCGCAGGACCAGCAGTGAGGGAAGGAAGGGGGGGAAAAATTATAATAATAACTTCTATAGAGTCTAAAATCCACAACAGCAACTGCTGAGTTCAAGAAAATGCAAAATTTGATACATCAGTGACACTATGTCTTTGTTTATGCATCAACCCTGAGTTCTTCATTACAATCTAACACAATGGAGCTGGTAACACTTGATCCAAACATGAGCTTTCTTTGCTGTGCTTGATGAGCCTTTCCCAAAATAAGAAGCTGAAGTAGCAAATGAGACAGATGGGGAACACTGACACTCTCTGAGGCTAAGCCTGGTCCCCAACAAAGGTGACTGCAGAAGTCCTGGTTTAGTACATGAGCAACAAAATATGACCAAAAAAAAAACCCAGGATGAAAGTCCACAAAACCCATCCCCAGTTACAGCAACTGCACTTTCTGGAATGTAACTACAGCTGCTTTAAAGCTTGGGATAGAAAATTCAGCTCCTAAGTTTTATCTCAGGGTTGTTTTTTCTTCAAAACAGACCATTATTGGTGCTCCACCTCATAGTTCTGCTGACAGAACCTTTCTGCTCTTTATCACTCTGCCTTGTATCGATGGCACAAAATGTCACTTCCAGCTTCAGAATCCTTCACTATTTACATTTTTCCCCCTCAAAATCGACCAGACAAAACCCCAACAATATTACTGTCCATGTAAAAGTTGACAGTGCACCATCCTCTCTCCTTCAAATCCTTCTGCAGATGGTCATGTTCATTAGCAGTGTGAGGAAAAAACACCAAACCAAAGCCTTCCATCTATTCTATGACAAATTATTGAAGAAAAGATTAGTTACCAGAAGATTTTTTTTATCATTTTGAAATAGTGCTCAATCTCTACTAAAAACTCTACATGCTCTTTATATCCACAGGCATGGAGAAGTTTTATTAGAAATCCTGCAAGCACTTCTACTTGGGAAAAAATAACAAATGGCACAATTTTGCCTATCCTTGGCAGCAGGGAAATATTTAAGTGAGCAAGTGCCACCTGGGCAGGTCAAATGCTATGACTAGAGTCAGGGTGTGCACAAAGCAAGGCCACCAAGCAAGGCAAGGGTGTTCCTTACCTGTCAAGGGCTGTCCCAGCTCCGCCTGCACTTTACCCTTCGCTGCTCCTTCCAGAGGTAAAGAACCTCTGTCCCCTTTGTAGAGTTTCGGTTTAAATGCAGAATCTTTGTCTTTACCTTTTGATCCTTTAGGCCTGCCTGCTTGCTTCTTCTTGGATTTACCATCTCCCTTCACACCCAGCAGCGGATGGACTTCTGTGGAGAGACAACTTGTTACCAGAGTGAATGATTTCCTGAAGAAGTTTGTTATTAAATGTTACAATCCAATTCTGGAGCCTCCAACATAAGAACACGGAGCTCATGGGGTAAGTCCAGAGAGGGCCATAAAGATGATCCAAGGGCTGGAGCAGCTCTGCTCTGGAGACAGGCTGGGAGAGTTGGGGTGTTCAGCCTGGAGAAGAGAAGGCTCCAGGGAGACCTGAGAGCACCTTCCAGTGCCAGAACAGGCTCCAGGAAAGCTGGGGAGGGACTTGGGACATGCGTGTGGGGTGATAGGACAAGGGGAAATGGATCAAAACTGGAACAGGGGAGATTTAGGTTGAACATTAGGAGGAAATTCTTCACTATGAGGGTGGTGAGAGCCTGGCCCAGGTTGCCCAGGGCAGCTCCATCCCTGGCAGTGTTGAAGGGCAGGTTGGATGGGGCTTGGAGCAACCTAGGCTGGTGGGAGGTGTCCCTGCCCATGCAGGGGGGTTGGGACTGGATGATCTTTAAGGTTTCTTACAACCCAAACCATTCCATAATTCTATGATTCCCAGTTTGCAAAATGTCAGGAATAAGTGCAGAGTTGGCGGCCATTAATAACTGCTGCACAGAGTATCCTCCTCCTTCCTGTGAAGTGAAGGAGTGACCTTCTGGTCTTCAGACCATCTGAAGTGCAAAATTAGGCATTAAAACAACAGCAGCTCCTACACACCATCGTTAGGTACTCCTTGGAGTTCAATGTTGGTGGTTTTGGGCTTCTTCTTTGGTGCCTGAGGCCCATCAGAGGAGGACTGCCTCTTTTTCTCAGAACCTATTCCCTCATCAGTCAAAGAGCTCTGAACTGCATCTGGTGGAGGTCCATAGGGGTTTTCTTCTGGATCTTCCACTTCAGGAGCAATGGGTAAGTAAAGCAAAGCCTTGGAGTCCTCCAGTTCTTCATCACTGTGAAGGAAAAACATTTCCTTTTGTTTAAAACTCGGGGTTATTATATTATACAGGGAATCTTAGTGGCATATTTTGTATTAAAACTTTAAATAAAACATTCTTGCACCTGCTACAGAAGGCAGCAATGGGATCCACACTGGTTACATCCACTTCTTCATCTTCTGCAGCATCAGCACCTAAAAACCAGGGGAAAAATGTGAATTAAAGGCAGTAAGGAAAAGACAAACTACTTAAAAAGATGGTGACTGGCTGTGCTTAAATGTCTAAGCATACAGAAGTAAAAATTAAACTATTTCCTTTTAAGTCCATCAGTTATTTATTTTCTATGTTCTGTACAGACCTATTGTTACAAACCACCAGTAATGAAGCTGGATAAATTATTTTAAATATTCTAGATGTTTTGTTGTTTTCACTCAACTAATTCTAAATCAGATGAGATTTATTTTCGTGCTTAACTCCCACAAGCCTTTCATAGCACAATTTTTTGGCACCACCAAGTGGCAGGTTGTGCTGCTACTGACTGAGACTCAGCACTGCTGCTGTTGAGGGGCTGTGATCCAGGGGTATTTTTTACTGCTTAAGTACATAGTGGAGAGGGGAGGCTTTCCTAAAAAAATAAAAATAAAAAACGTTGCACTTCTATTGCAGGAATCACACCCTGTTTAGTTCATACATCTTAATTTATCTACTCCTGATTTGTTATTTAACACCCATGTGTACTGCTGTGACCACCAGTTTTATTTTTACTGTGACTACCAGTTTTAATTCTTACTACAGTTGCACAGTCAGAGATTACAAACCATTTGCTGCACAGCAGCTCTTTCTGCAGTACCTGTCTGTTCTGGCTCACTCTTATCTTCATCTTCAATGTCAAACTCTGACTCTCTCTCTTCATATTCTACATTTTCATCCAGCTCTTTGAAGTCAGGTGCAAAGGCACTCCAGTTTTCCTAAACCACAAATTCAAAGGGATTTTTACCTCATGCCACAGTGAGGACTCCTGCGATCACCACCTCATTCTGCATCAAAACCCCCAAGCCATGTACAAGATCACAAAAAACAAGCCTCACTGGGGGCTCCACAGTCACCTGGCAAATTAGGAACTTCAGGAATTAGGTCCTACTGAAAATATGACACAATATTCCTTAAATATTGCAACATATGTAATAATGACACCTAAAACTAAAGCTGCACATTCATGTTTAGCCACTTAGTTGGGGCTCATTCAGATTTCCTGCACTTGAAAGACACATTCAGGACACCATTCCCACATTTATTTTTTTGTTGTTAAAGACATTTATTTATTATGAAGGACAATTAAATGTCCTTGTGATTATATTTAAGATTTAATGCAAAGCTTAACCAGTTCAGCAACTGCAGCACTAGTCCCCTCCTCACATTCAACCAGATGGCAAACACAGGTCAGGTTAGGCAGGTGGGCCTAAAAAGCTTGTTGGATGGGAATTTAATCATGGATTTCAACATTCAGTCTACTAGGATGGAAACTCCCAAGGAATCCTCTTAAGGAAAAAATCTACACCACTTACCACTTGATTCTGAGCCCAGATGGACACAACACCACTGGAAATGGAAGCTATGATGGGTCGGACAGGATGCCACTGGATTTACAAGGAAGAGAAAAGAGGAGGAGCTTAATTGGTTAATGAAATGAAGCTTAGTTTTCCAAAATAACAAGAAACATAGTAAGAGCAGACAGTTTTCTTACTGCTACATCCAAGAGCAGCTCTCCTCTGGTCGCGTGGAGGATTTGCACTGGGTTTCCAATACTCTTCTCCAAGATGTACAGGGCGTGTTGTCGTGCTGAACCTGCCACTATGTATTCACCATCACCAGAGAAACAGCACTTCTTCCACGGGGTCCTGGGTGCAAAGACAGTGTCACAAGTTCAACAGCAACATCACAGGGAGGATGGAGGACTCTGGAGTTGGCTCGTTCTTCACCCACAAATACTTAAACTTGAATTCTGGCAGATAGGTTTCAAATTAAATTAGCTGTCCATTACCCTGAATAAGATAACAAGCCACCCTTTCCTCCAGAGCCTCCTTTGCTGAGCACACAAACCTCACTGGTTCATAGCAGGCTAAGCAGCCATTCTGCTGTCTCCTACCTGTTCACCAAGTCCTGCAGCTTCTGCATGGGCTCAGGTTCCCCATCTCGTCCACAGGTGAGGATTTCACGGCCGTCGTACACCCTGATGATCCGGTCAGCTGTGTTTATTAAAAAGCAGCTGCAGGAGGAAGGGCACAAAACATGTGTTGGGTTAAAAGGCTAAAATAAAAAAGAATCAGAATATGTTCCATGAAACAACTGGGGGGAGGTTAAGACTATCCTATAGCTTGCAATTCACCTTTAAAGATACCAGCTGATCAGTGAAGTAACTCACCTTCCTTTCCGAGCAAATTCAATCGATTTAATAGCTGTGGTGTTGCTGGTTCCAGTTGTGACTCTGAAGGAAGCAACAAGATCCTGAGTGTCTGTTTTTAAGACCAAGATCTGAAGATGAAGGAAACAGGAGGCAATCAGTGTCTTCATTGTATCTCATTCTCCTTCTGGTACCTTGCACATTAGCTGCTAACCCTGGCAAGAGGAGCCTCAGCAACATACACAGGAATAGCTGAGATTCTGCAACTGCAGTTTCTGTGACATAGTAATTGGTTTATTTATGCTGGAAAAGGATTCAACAACTATGGTCAAAGTCAACAGCAAGACAAAGACCTAACTGAGACAAAGACTGTAATCTAGAGATCTTCAAAGATAAAGTGTGATGCTCTGTTCAGAAGATCTTATCAGCAGGATATCAACTATTCAGGACACCTTATTTGTACATCGAAACAAAGAACACAACTCAAAAACCTTAAGCAACTTGGGAAAAGCAGGAAGTTCACAGCCAGTGTTGCCTGCTAACATCTCACCTTCCCCTTAGCATTGCCTGTATAAATGTATTCCCCTCGCCTGTCAAAAGAGGCCACAACATTGAGGTCAGAATCATCATCCACAGGCAGGACAACATGTTTGGAGTCTGACAGCGTCAGCATCACTGGCGCCGACTTCATGGGACAGACCAAAACTCTGTTTCTGCAACAAAGAAAAAGAACAATTCAGAGGTTTTGGGTTCTATTTTTTCTCTGAAGTGCCCAGATTTAAAAGCAGAGGGGAAAAAAAAAGGTCAACCTATATCAAGAGACCCAGGATACCTCTGTATTTTGATTATCTTGTCTTTGTTCCTTCAATGACAACATGACACTGAGCTGGTGTCTGTTTCATCCACTTTCTTCCTCTGGAAACTTCTCCAAGTTTATGCAGTAACTTGCAAACAAGAGGTTCCCAAGACACATTCCCAAGAACCCTTCTCCTGTTTACTCTCCTCCCTTTCTGATGTTTCCATAATAAACAAATTGCACCATTTCAATAATAACTAGTTCTATGAAAACAAGAGTATTCAACCCTCTTTTCCCAGGACTTACTGGTCTCGAGGGTGATACTGGACTTTCAGGATGGGTGAAGGGAATCTGAACCTCTGGTCGCAGTCTCCGGAGAGCACGTCCCACTGGGACACGATGTTGTCTGTGGACGCACTGACCAGTTTGTGGCCATCCCGGCTCCAGCTACAGTAACCAGAGGAGTTGGAGCAACAGTTACTCCTTACACGTGCAAAACACACACCCAGGGTTTCAAATAACCAAAACAAGTTATCAGATACCGAATCACAGACTGGTTTGGGTTGGAAGGAACCTTAAAGATCATCCAGTCCCACCCCCCTGCATGGGCAGGGACACCTCCCACCAGCCCAGGTTGCTCCAAGCCCCGTCCAACCTGCCCTTCAACACTGCCAGGGATGGAGCTTCCAAAACCTCCCTGGGCAACTTGTTCCAGTGTCTCACCACCCTCACAGCCAAGAATTTCTTCCCAATAGCTACTCTAAATCTCCCCTCTTTCAGCTTAAAACCATTACCCCTTGTCCCATCACAACAAGCCTTGGTCAAAAGTCCCACCCCCCAGCCTTATAAATCTGTGTGAAAAATAACATCACACCTAAACACTTCATGGGCACAACAGGCTTCTCAATTCTCTCAGAGGGTCCCAAGCTGTAACTGAGCTTCCCACAAGGGGCTGACACTTCAGCAGCCACCACACCCGGGTATCAGCAAACACAAACACCAGAGAATTTCTAACAAAAACGAGCCTTTCACACCTAACACAGGGCCCAGGAGCTTCATTAGGGAGTAAACACCGAGCTCAGCTTTTCCGAGGAGGGAAAAAAACAACCCCACCCAGCTGTTCCTCACCATAAGGAGCAGACGGGGTGGATGTGGGCGCTGATGATCTTGGCGATGCCCCTGGTCAGGAAATCCCAGATGACGATGCGCCCGTCGTTGCAGCCCACGGCGAGGAGGGTCCCCCAGCGGTTGAAGGTGCAGGTCAGGGCCATGCTGATGCAGTCCAAGGTGCCGTCCGCCTCCTGCGAGGAGAAGGGCGGTCAGCCCCGCG